TATACTTCTTCAATAATGATACTCATTTGTTCTGATTTTATTCAGTAACAAAGTTATTAATCAACCATTCAACCAGCATTTCCTATGTACCTATTATGTATTAGCCATTGGGGATAGAAAACAAACAAACACACAAACAAACAACAATAATAACAAAAACAAAGCTATTTCTGATCTCAAGGAGCTTATGTTCTCTTGGAAAGAAACATTATATACACAGATAAGTAAATGTAAAATATATAAAAATAAACATTACATATCTAGTGTATATATATATATAATGTGCATATTATTGATACAATGTATATTACATATATAATGTGTATACATAGTATAGTGTTTGTGTTGTATATATATGGATAGATGACTGGTAGATGAAAGGAGGATCTTGAACTAAGAGAATGAATTTGAACTAGGAGAATCAGGTAGGAAAGATTTTTTTTTTGTTTTTTGTTTGTATGTTCGTTTGTTTGTTTTTTCAGTAGATGATGCTTGAGTGGAAACTTGAAGGAAGCTAAAATTTCTAAGAATAGGAAGTTAGGAGGAAGATCATTCCAGGCATTTGGGAGAGACTAGAAAAGACAGAAAAACAGTAGTTGGGATATGATGTAACAGAAACATAAAGTAAGCCATCTTGGCTGGAATGAAGCATCAATTAGAGGAGGTAATATATATAGTCAAGCTTAAAAGATAAGTTTGGGCCAACTTGTGAAAGGAGTACTATGTATTTTATCCTAGAAGCAAGAGGAAATTATTAAAGCTTGTTGAGCAGTTTAGTGACATTGTCAGTCCTGAAAAGTAGGTGAATTTTGTTATTCAGGAACTGTGAAAAATCAGTCAATTAGCATTATAAACCACATACTATGGTGCCAGGTACTGTGCTTAGTACTAGGAATGTAAAGTCAAAATGGAAAGATTCCTTGCCCACAAGGACTTTATATTTTAATTTTCCCTGGTAATAGGATATGAGTTTTGATTAATTCAATTCAATGGTGATGAGGCTTGTGAGGCTCAGTCTCTGCCACAGCATTCTGATAGCCCTAGGTATAATAGGTGGGATACATTAATGACAGTATACATTAATGTTAATACGTTAGATGGCAAAATCAGAATTCCAAAAGGTCGTGACAATGACCCAGAACAATGGGCCAAATTTAGCATGACCAAATTGAAGAGATATAAATACAAAACCCTAAGCTTGAAATTAAAATGGAGAGGGGAGGAAGTAATAAACAACTTGTAGATGTTATGTCCAAATAAATGTTAATGATCTTTGAAAAATCCTAGGACATATGTGAGGTATTAAACCCTAAGATACTGGAAATTGGCAAATGTCCTAGATTCTAAAAAGGTGAAACAGATGAATTCTTTATAGAAAAATCCACTTAACCTGGAAAATTTTTCAAATGTATAATTAAAGGGATGAATTGTAATCATAAAGATAAGGCAAATCCTCCTATCTGCAGGAGATCTTTTTTCAGGCTACTTCCCTGACCCTCTATTCCCAGCTACACCTGTCTTCTTTCTACTCTGTATAAATTTTATGTTTATCAAACTCTTTACCTATTTCTTCTTAGATTATGATTTAAGTTCCTTGAGAGCAGGAGCTGTTTGTTTTTGTTTGTTTGTTTGTTTGTTTGTTTTCTCAGAAATTAGAACAATGTCTGGTATCTAGTAAGGGCTTTATCAATTGACTGGTTTCCATCTCTGAGAAATTGTTTCTATAATTAATTTTCCTTCCTTGATGCCTAGTTAGCTCATTTGTAATATGAAGGTAGTAGAGTGGATGATGTCTCTGGTAACTTCTATCTCTAAAGATCTATGAAGAATAGTAATTATTAACATTACTTGGGATTTTCCTTTGCTTGGAAAGTAGGATGAGAGGGATAGTGATGTGAGTACAATGACTTTTTTTTTTATATACCACCATTGGATATTAGAGATTTCCCTTTCATAATCAGACCCTTCCTTGTTTTATGTCTTATTTTGGTGCCCCAAAACATCTCAGAGATCAACCTGTCACAAGACATCAAATTTCTTGGAAAAAGAAATCTAAACTTGTGTAATCATTTGTGTTGGACTTGATGGTTTTTAAGATTTCTCACAACTTTAAATCTATAATGTCATGAGCCTATGACTAGTCTATGTCCTTCATCCATTCAACTTGCATACTGGTTGGTTATCTTCCCCAGTCACTTTCAGAATATAAAAGAAATGCAGTGATTGGGTATCTGTGAATGGCAGCTAAAAAGATAAAAATAATAGTCAATAAACATTTTTAAGTGTCGACTATGCATCAGGCATAATGCTAAGTGCTGAGGAAACAAAGAAAAATAAGGGACAATCTCTACTTTCAAGGGACTTACAGTCTAATAATGGAGACACCATGCAAATAATTATGTATGAGTATATGTATAAATAACTATGTACAAAAGTGAAAGAAAAGATAAATTGGAAATAATCAAGGAAAGATAATAGAATTAAGAGTGATTAGGAAAGGCTTCCTGAAGAAGGTGGAATTTTAGCTGGAACTTGAAGGAAGCCAGGGAAATCATGAGTGGGTAGAGATGAGTAGGGAAAGTATTCTATGTATGATGGATAACCAGATATAATGCTCAGTCAGGAAACAGAGTGTGTTGCTTGAGGAGAAGCAAGAACAGGAGAGGAAGGATTGCTAGGTCACAGAGAATATGGTGGATTATAAGGTGTAAGAAGATTAAAAAGATACACGTGTGTGTGTGTGTGTGTGTGTGTCTGTGTTATAAAGAGTTTTGAATGACAGAGGGTTTTATATTTGATCTTGGAGGTGATAGGAAGCTACTGGAGTTTATTGGGTAAGGGGGTGATATGCTCAGACCTAAGCTTTAGGATGATAATTTTCACAGCTGAGTGGAGGCTGGACTGGTGTGGGGAGAAACTCCCAGCCAGGAGACCAACCAGCAGGCTATTGCAATATTCCAGGAATAAGGACTAGATGAAGGTCTATACCAATGTTGTGGCAGTCAGAGAAGAGAAGGGGACATATGTGAGAGATATTAAGAAAGTGAAATCAGCAACTCTTGGCCACAAATTGGATATGGAGATATGATAAAGGGTGAGGAGTTGAGGGTGCCACCTATGTTGTAAGCCTGAATGACTGAGAAGCTGGTGATACCTTTAATGGTAATAGGGAAGTTAGGAAGAGGGGAGGGCTAAGATAACAAATTCAGTTTTAGACATCTTGACCTGAAGATATATACAGGACATCCAGTTCCAAATGTTCAATAAGCAGTTGGAGATGTGAGACTGGAGGCCAGTAGGGAGGTTAGGACACAGTAAGTAGATTTGAGAATCATTAGCCTAGAGAAGATGATCAAATTCATGAACTGATGAAATTACCAAATGAAATATTACAGAGGGAGAAAAGAGGAGGGCCCAGGACTCTGGGGGACACCCATGGTTAGTGGGTATGACCCAGATGAAGATCTAGCAAAGGAGATTAAAGAGAGGTCAGATATGTAGGAAGAAAACCAGGAGAGACTAGGGTAACAAGTAGGCCTGTTATAATTTAATTCTGCTTTTCAAGCTGCCTTTGATGTTCATTATCACCTTATTTCAGCTGTATTAATACGTATGAAAGGTTGTATTGGCCACCCTCCCCCTTCCCCCCAGGTCCTCAATTTGTCTCCTCTTGGATATATTATAACCTGTCATACATATTCCCCCAAAACTTAAAGATCACAGTATTTTGAGCAGCAAAACATGTGAAACAAGCAGATTTTTTTTAAGTTAAAAAAACACTGAAATCATTTTCCACAAAATAGAAGGCATACCTATACTAAGGAATGCAAGAGGCAAACATTGTACAATAGCAGTTGTTCTGAAGGAAAAATCTCATTGGCATTTTGTCTTATTCTTTATGTAACCTAAAAATCCATACCCATTGTTCCATAGTAGATGTTCCATAAATATGTATTGAATTGTTAAATATTCCTAGTCCTGAAGGGAAAATGGAGGTCTCTGTTCCTGATTTCTATAAAAGTAGTACTTCCCTGAAGCTGCTATATGCCAAAGGGCATACTGATAAACACTTAATGCAAAGAGCAAACTTAGAAACTCACATCTGCCAGCTCAACATATGTTTTGACCTTTAGGATAATACTGGAAATGAAACATGAGGAAGATTGAGGTTGCCATAATCCCTTTGACCTTGTTACAAAATGTCTATCTGACACATTTTTGTTCGCTAATTTCATTCAGCAGTGAACCAGCCAAAATAAGTAGTCATTTCCAGTTATGTAATCAGGGGACTCATTTTGTGATATGCACTAGAAATTTAGTTTGGGGAATATTTTGCCCAGGTTTGTGTAGCTAAACATGATGAGCTATAAAGTAACACATTTTGCTGCCTTATCCTCCTTGGCCTAAGTAATTTAAAAGAAATTATTAAAAATCTCTTTCAAAAACTTTATTGTTTTCCATTAGAATATTGTAAAACATGTTTTCAATGGAGGGGAGTTAGAGGGCAGCATAGAAAGCACTAGTTTTGAGAAGCTACAATTTCATGGTCCACACTTTGGAATTTTTGCCATTGTACACTCCCTTCGCAACTTTAAATAAAAAGGAATTGTAGGCAAAAATAGCTTTTTTTTTTTTAATGTACTCTCCATTCTCTGAATTCTGATGGCATGTCATTTCTAGCCCAAACTGTTTAACTTGATGCTAAATTGTCTAGTATTTTCTGTGTTATGAATAAATCTTGGCCATCTCAGTACATAGCAAGCCTTTGGATGTATGTTTGTAAAGGGATGGAGGTAAGATTGGGAGGACAGGAGAGACTTGTCTTCCTCTTCATATATTCCCCCACATCCCCTAGCAGAGAGCTGGAGGCAGAGTGACAGCATAGGCAATTCATGAATAAACACTTATTGAATGAATGATTGATTGCTATTGCTTGGGGCCCTGTGCTGTCTTGCTGCTTTGTTTTGTAACATCCCCTTCTGTTGTGTTGCATTGAACAGAGGATAAGATCTGGACTGCCGTGCAGCATAACAACACAGAGCTCACTCGAGTGCGAGGGGCACATCCCAAGAGGCCCTATGTCATGTACTTTAACTACAACAGCAGCATGGAGCAGCTGGAGGCGATAATCAACAGTGCAGAGTACTGTGAGCAGGAGGCCGCTTACCATTGCAAGAAATCTCGTCTGCTGAACACCCCTAGTAAGTTCTCTGCATCTCAGCTCTTTCTTTGCTTGACTATTGCTGGTTGTCCATTTAGGCCTTTGGGGCCAGGAAAGAGAAATATTCATCCTAGAATTACTTAGTATCCAAGTCACACTCATAAAAGTGAATGGAGAATCAGCCTTGCCAGGTGTAGTTACTCAGTGTGGATGGAAGGACTGGATTAGGTCAGGAAAATGTCCCGTATTCTTAATGCTGCTGATCACTCTTGTGGTAGGTTCTTAGAATCAACATGATACAGTGAGAAGAGCAGTGACTATGAAGTCAGAAGACCTGGGTTTCAATCCTGACTCTGATGGTTACCATCAATAAATGGTAAGCTATTTATTGCTTTTGGGCCTTGATTTCCTCCTCTATAAGATGAGGAGGTCAGTCTAGAAAGCCTCTAAATCTATCACTTTCTGACTTTGGGCACATCATTTAACTTAACCCTTCATGTTTCTCATTTAACAAGTGGGAATAATTATGACTACATAATATCCCTTCTGGCTCTAAATATTGAAAAGTCTTACTGGATCACATGTGATAACTTCTGTCAAATTTCTTTGAAGTTTATAAAGGTTTCCATAAATTCAGAGTAGTATTATTTTTGTCATTGTGGCTGCTACAACTATTCAAAGCTTTTAGTGTTGTCCTTTCCAAGTCAATGTAGAGTTATTTCACTGTTTTTCAGTTTAGCATATTTTAGGAACTAAATACTGGGATTCATTACAATGGAATGTGGCATATTTACTATACTGTAGAGTATACACTGGAATGCTGACTTCTAATGCTTTGATGCTCCTATAAAATGATTCTGCCTCTCAGTATCCTAACCCAGGAATGCATCGCTCTGGCCATATGAAAACCCAGCAGTGAATGTCAGCATTCACCATCACAATTTATCCAGCCCACGATTCTGTTGCTTCTGGGTATATCAAAGAATGTGTTGGAGTACACAATCATCAATTCTATTGTATTAAAGTCCACAAGTAATTTTTAAGATACTGCTATATGTAAAGCATTCTGAATTTGCCTCCTGGGGGAGATTAAAAAGGTTTACATGACTTAGTCTCTGCCTTTACGGAGTTTACAATGCAAAAGGCAGGTATGGTATAAAGGTAGGCAAGTAACTACAGTATCAGTATCTACAATGCAAGATAATACACAAAAAGTGCCTAAGAGCAATGTTAGTGAATTGCTTTTGAGTTCCAAAAAGGAGGAAGTTTCATTACTTATTAAGGCAGATTGTTGATGCAGGGAAGGTTTCTGGAGGAGGTAACATATGAGGTAGACTTTAAAGGATAGTTTGGAATTTAATATATGTTTATGGGCTATGAAGGGAGAGGTAGAAATAGCAATCAGTGAGAAAAATGGCAAACACATGTGAAAGCGCAGCGATTGTACTGTGGTCAGTGAATCAGTCTGTTAAGATTATCTATGGAAGTAAGCAGTGGAAGATAAAGCTGGAAAGAGGCTGGTATGTCCCTGTGGAGCACCTTAAATGAAAGGAAAAAATGAAAGAAACAATTATCAAGTTCCTACTATGTGCTAGCCACTATGGTAAGTGCCTTACAAATATTAATGCAATGGATCCTCACAACAACTGTGAGAGGTAGGTACTATTATTATCCCCATTTTGTGGTTGAGGAAACTGGACAAACAGAGGTTAAATGATTTGCCCAGGATCACACAGCTAGTAAGTATCGGAGGCTGGATTTATACTGGGTTATTCCTGACTGTAGGCCCAGTGCTCCATCCTTTGGGCCACTTATCTTCCAGTTTAAGGAATTTGAACTTTTATCCTGGAGATAATGGGGAAACACTGAAGTGTTTAGTGCAAAGGAGAGCTATGTTCAGTTCTACAAATAAGGAAGTTTAGTCTGGTTGTGATTCAGAGAGCAAGTTGGAACTACAAGAGAAAAGAAGCAGAGGGATTAATCAGTATGTCATAAACATTTATTAAGTGCTTTGTGTCCCAGGAATCACAATGAAAAAGTGAAATTTATTCCTTACCCCCAAGCAGATTATATTCTAATGGGAGATAACATGTATACACATAAGTATATTTAAAATATATGCAAAGTGAATACAAAGCAGTTTTTTTTTGTTTTGTTTTGGAAGTAGAGTTGTAGCATCTGGGAAATACCAGGAAAAGAATCATGTAGAAGGTAGGATTTAAGTGAAATTTTGAAGGAAACTAGCAATTCCAAGAGTCAAAGATAAAGAGGGAATGAATTCCAAGAATGGGGGAGAGTCAGTACAAGGGCACACAGAGAGTAGATGGAATGCTATGGGTACAACAGTGAAGAATCTAAAGAGGAGGAGTTAAGTGTAAGAAGATTGAAAAGGTAGAAAAGGACCAAGGTGTGAAGAGATTTAAACTTCAAACAGAAGAATTTATACTAACTGGAGGCATCATGGAGTCACTAGAGTTTATTGAATAAGGTAGTCACATGTTCTTAAGACCCGTTCTTAAGACCTGTTCTTAAGCAAAATCAATTTAGTGGCATGTGTGGAGGATAGATTGAAGTGAAGAAAGACTTAAAATATGAAAGCCATGTAAGAGGCTATTTTGGTAGTCCAGGTGAGAGGTAAGGAGGATGTGAATTATCAACCAATTAATCAATAAAACATTTATTAAGTACTTACTATTTTCCAGACACTGTGCTAAAACTCTCAGGATACAAAATGAGGTAAAAGACAGTCCCTGCCCTCAAGGAGCTTACAATTTGAAAAATGGGGCAGACAACGTGCACACAAATATAGGCAAAGCAAGTTATGTACAAGATATATAGGAAATAATTAGTAGAGGGAAGACATTGGAATTAAGAGGGCTTGGGGAAGGCTTTCTACAGAAGGTGAGATTTTAGTGGAGACCTAAAAGAATTCAGTAGTTGCAGAGTTCGGTGATCATTCCAGGAATTGGGGGCAGCCAGAGGGAAGGTCCAGAGCTGAGAGAAGGAGTGTTTTGTTCATGGAACTGCCAGAAAGCCAGTGTCACTGAATTGAAGAGTAAGTGGCAGGAAGTAAGATGTAAGAAGACAGGAAAAGTAGGAGGGAGCTAGGTTATGAAGCACTTTGAATGCCGAAGAAGATTTTGTATTTGCTTCTGGAGACAATAGGAAGCCACTGGAGTTTGTTGAGTGGGGTGGTGGTGGTGGTGATGTGATTGGACCTTTATTTTAGAACAATCACTTTAATAACTGAATGGATAGATAGGAGTGTGGCAGAGACTTGAGGCAGGCAGAACCAATAGCAACCTATTGCTAATAATCAAGGCATGAGATGAAGAGGGACTGCACTGGAATGGTGGGAGTATCAGATTACAGAAGAAGGCATATACAAGAGATGTTGCAAAGGTGAAATAGACCAGTCATGGTATCAGACTGGCTATGAAAGAAGTGAGAGATATTGAGGAATCCATGATGACTCCTAGATATTAAACCTGAAGGACTGGGAGAATAGTGTTGCACTCTCTGGTAATAGAGAAAGTAGAAGATGGGAAATGTTTAGGAAGAAAGATAATGTTTTCTTTTGGACATGATGAGTTTAAGATGTCTACTGGACATCCAGTTCAAAATGTCTGAAAGGCAATTGGAGATGTGAGATTGGAGGTCAGCAGAGAGACTGAGACAGGAAGAGTATATTTGAAAATTATCATCCTAGAAATGGTAATTACATGAATAAGAACTGATAAAATCACTGAATGAAATAGTATAGAGGGAGAAAAGAAGAGGGCCCAAGACAGAACTCTGAGGGACACCCATAGTTAGAGAACATGATGTGGAGGATGATCCAGCAAAGGACACAGAGGAGTGGTCAAATAGGTGTTAGGGAGAAAGTATAAGGAGAAAAATTGGAGGTATTTAATGTAAATGACCTTTTTAAGAAGTTTAGCTACAAAGTACATATAGCTACAAAGCTACAATGAATATTTAGTTACATATAGGATAGTAGGTATCAGGGATGGAAGGATCAGGTGATTTTTTTTTCAGGATAAGAGAGTCATGGGAATGTTTGTAGGAAAGGAGCCAGTAGAGAGAGTTTGAAAATAAGTAAAAGAGTAAAGATGACAGAGGGGTCAATCTGTTGGAGGAAATGGGATGGAACAAAATAATGAAGATGAAATGAGAAGAACCAAGAGAATATTGTGTACAGTAACAGCAATATTATTTTAAGAATGACTTTGAACAAGTAAGTAATTTTGACTATTATAAATACCAAAGTTAACTATAAAGGATACATGAAGAAAGATGCTATCTGCATCTGGGACCTGATGAGGTCACCAAGCGTATAGAGAAAAAAGAGAAAAGGACTCAGCATAGAATCTTGGAGTACACCCATAGTTAGCAGAAATGACATGGGTGTATGTATCCAAGGAGACGAATAAGAGGAACGAGAATCAAGAGAAAATGTTACTGTGAAAACTCAGATAGGACAAAGCATTCAGAAGGAGAGAGCAGTCAATATTGTTAAATGCAATACAAAGATCATAGAATATGAGGCTATTTGTGTTAGTGATTAGAATGTTGGTTACTTGAGACAGAGCTATTTCAACAGTGATGAGGTCAGCAGTCTGTCTTCAACAGATTAGGAAGGGAGTGAAAGGAAATGTGAAATCCAGAGAATAGATGGGTTTTTTAAGGAGTATGGTTGAGAAGAGGAAGAGAAATATAGGCTAATAGCAAGAATAGTAAGACTTAGTGAAGGCTTTTTTTTTTTTAGGGAATGAGGAAATACACAGAAATATTTGTAGGAAGCAGCGAAAGAATAAGTAGAGAGAGAAAGATTGCTGATTATAGAGAGACTAGATGATAATAGAGAAAAGTCAATTCACTAAAGAAAGTGGGGAGAATGGGATTAAGGGTACATGTGGAGGGGTTGGTCTTTGCGAGAAGAGGGGCCACCTTTTCATCAGAAACTAGAAGAAGTTAGGAATTGATAGTGTAGGTATTCTTAACTTGGGAATTCAGATGGTTCATGAATTTGGGTGGGGA